CCCGGGTCCACGCGGGCTGGACTGAGGCTTGTCTCTCAGCTTCTCTGGCGGGACGCTCCTGACTCAGCCCCGCTCTGCCTCTTCCCGGGTTGCAGGACCCGAGTCGTTGCCACGAAGCCTCTGTCATCTTCAACCTCCTGCGGCTGCTGATGCGGGACCTCCGGATAGTGGCACACTCCGGACCTTGTGTCTGACCCCGAATGCTCCATGGGGATCAGAAACTCTCAGCGCCTTCAGCTGCAGAGCGTGGGCCTCTCTGTGCTCCTTGTATAAGGCAGGCATTTAGCCCATGGGCGCTGACGTTCCAGGGACCCTCTGTTGCCATTGGGTTGGCTTCAATCCACCGGCTCTGAGTGCAAAAGGTTCAGATGCTCTCCCAAGAAGAGCCCCGGTGGAGTGTCCGGGAAGATGTGTGATTTTCATGGGATGCATGTCCCGAAGCTCTTCCAGAGGGTGGTGGCTGAAGGCTCTGTGTTGGATGAACCAGGGACCCCATGAACCAGGGACCAGTCCTTGCCTCTGGGATAACAAACACCTCTCCCCAGACCCCTGGTCCCCGGGTCTCACATCCTGATTTGAACCCTCAACTCCCATTCTGGCAGTTCATGATTCTTTGATCCTCCACGTGAGGGGCCTTCATCCCTTCAGGGATTTGGCTGGGACAGGCCCAAGTCCTGAAGCTGCAGTGTGTCCGTGGATCCTGTTACAATGTTGTCTGTGTGACATTCCAGTGTCGGCTGTGCTGCGTCTTGGTGTTAACTTATTGCCCGCTATTAAAGAGTGACTCATTTGCACTGGTGTTTCCCGTGTGGTTACTTGTGGACGCTCTCCATACAAAAGGCTCAGTCCAGACATGAGGTGACCTGAGCTTCAGTCTGATCCTGTCACTTAGTGATAGAGCTTTTCTGGACAAATCTCCTTTCTGAGCCTCAGTACCCTCAGTACAGAATGGCACCTTACACCGCCCTGGAAGGGAGCAACGCGCACGGAAAGGTGGTTCCGGAGCTTCCGGGTGAGGTCCGTGTGTTGTCCTCACTAATGGGCTGCATCAAATGATCATACAAGAAATTCTCAAAATATTGCGGCATACGTGTATGTGTGTCCAATTCTGTGAGCATGGAATCTTGGGTGCTGACTACACACATACTTCCATTGCCCTGGAGGCTATCAGTTTCACTTTTAGAAAATAAAGCTCCAAGAAGGGTTGTTTTCTGTCCTGTTTTCTCTTTTCCTGGGCCCTTGAACACGGCCTGACCCCAGCTGGGGGCTGAATAA